ATTTAAGATCAGACATCCGAAGTCCTTTGATTCAAGATCCGGTTCATGTGAAATTTGCGATTTGGGGATTCTATAATTCGAGACCTGAGGTTTCAAAGTTCAATAATTCAAGGCCTGGGATCTGAGCATTTGCGTTCTACGGGTTCTGCCGTCTGGGATTTTGGGACTAGCGCGTTGGGACTTTCGAGGTTTGGATACAGGTAATTTTAGAGCCAAAAATTACGTTAGTCCAATATCGATACGATTCCGTGATGTTCTGATGCGGTTTTCATATCCTTGGAATTATGAAGATCGAGTTCCTATGATACCTAGACTGTGGTGTTGAAATTCCCACAAAGCAGAGGTAACTTGAGACGACCGTACATACAACTGTGGATGCATGAAATTCGAGATTCCAGCGTCTCATCCATAATTTTCTCGTATAAACTATGAGAATTATCTTAGTTGTGTGAACAAGTTTAGAGCAATTTCTCGATGATATTAATTGTTTCTTATTAACAGAGCGAAAGTAGCGTTGAATATGCTAGTTTCGCGTTAATTTCCTGAAATGTTACAACGTTAGTTGTATATTTAAATGTCTACACATCTATACAGAATATCGTAAATTTTTCCATTCGAACTTTATCAACGAACGTTCTATGGCTATTAGTAAGGGAAATATTATATAAAAATACGTCGTTTGAAACTTTACAATAAATACAAATACAAGGAGAATAGAACGCGATGAATGTATATACATAGAACAAATATTAATGAGTGTATTGAATTGATATGAAAAGTCGATTAATTTATTGAAACAAAATAAAATTGAAATGAACTGTGCAGGAAAATATCCCCAATTTCTTATTGTCAGTTTTTATCGGGAAAAATGGTGTAGCTTTTAAAATGGTGCATTAACATTTATCGATCGTCAATCTATTCTTATCTCGCGTAATAACCGTTGCCGTTTCCTTCGTACTTTCTAGTTTTGTTGTAATTTTTTAATAAAGCTTCAAACAATTTACCTTAATAATATCTTTTCTTAATTGTACCCGTAAAATATATTAACAAAATTCGATTAGAAAATCTGGAACGGATAAATTGAAGTGACGCGGCGGAAATAAATAAAAATAAAATATAAATAACAAATTGCATGACGTAGTTTCCGATCGATATGCCGATCTAAAATCTCTCCTTAACTCCACGTAATGCACCGAGTCTCCTCTACACGAAATTTCGTGGGAATTCACTCAATAGCTATCTATGTATCCTTTACTATCATTTGCTAATTATTATCAGCGAACGTAAATCACGATTCGATTACTGGATGTTTTACGTAATCCAAGTTCATGGATAATCGATAAAAGATATAACGGTGCTTACAGATCGACAAACGTATAATACACGAACGTAAAATAACAATGAAAACGGTATAAGGCAATAACTTTTATACCATACAAATATTATTTAAAATTGATAGTATATCGTTATTCGATCGATGATTGTCCAAATTTTAATTAAACGGTACACGTGAAACCGTTGCATTCGTTTTTCCTGTGTATTCAATTATTATTAAAAGGCAGCAGTGTGCAAATGAACGTATATATAGTAGATGTGTAATCGAGTATAATAAAAGTCATGCGTAAAATAAAGTTATCAGTTGAAACGATTTATGTTTCGTGCTTGCGGATAAAAAGAGATAATAAGAAAAAGGTAACAAAACTCATTTTTCTGCAACTCCGTTTCTCTCATAAACATGGAAATGTAACCGTGTAACTTTTTATAGACGAATTTTACATAGATCGCATGATGTTCAGAAAGTTCTTTCAGATATTTTATGGAACTTCTGAAATTCTATATGTCTTCTATATGTTTCTGATTTGCTATTACCAACTATTCGTGTAATTACCATTCGATCTAATACACTTTATTACAAATCTCTGTATCTGTTAAGTATTATTACCAGCATGTTACTTTGAACGTATTATTTTCATAATAACGGATTTTTATGCAATTTCGTATTTTCATGAACGTGATTAAAAAAGCGAAGAAACCTAAACGAAGATCCGTTTCGTCCAAACGTATAAGACGTATAAAATTGTTATATATTTATCAGTGTATAAAATATGAAATACTATTGCGAACACTTTACTTCGGATACTTTACACTCTAGCATATTACATATGAAGATTTAATTAGCATATACACATATACGTACATATCCCACGTAAACCAATCAAATCGTGAGATACTAAATTCAATTTTTCCTCCGGCATTCCCTCGTTCTTGATTAAACGCGGTCTATCACTCGTTCCAATTACATGTCTCATCGCGTACGGACATTCTATTCATAAATTAAACGTCGTCGTTGGTACGATAGCGATTAATCAAAATCATACTCGGCAACGTCTGCATCATAAATTCTCCGGCTACGGGACGATAATAACCACCTGGTTGAAAATGAAACCAAATGGAAAAGGAAGCGGCGAATGGAGCCACCCGGTGGAAAACCGATCATTAAATGGCCGGAGCGGAGAAAGGAAGGAATCCAAGCTGCTCGTCGCCGGTGGACAAATTTATCGTTTCGACCAGGCCAGCGGTCAGATAAAAATGCTTGATTTTAACCACGACAAGAAAACTGTGAGATAATGGCTTTATTAAGCGCCGAACGGAACAATCGTACAACGATGCTGCGCTTTTAATCGCGACACGATGTGACAGTAATCGACACGTTGTCCACCGTAGAAAGATAATTCTGATCTGGAATTTGATCGACAACGTATCGAATTCTAAAATTGCTCTTCTATGGAATACAGAAAATTCGAATTATATATCACGTTTTTAATCAGGAGGAAATTTCGTTTGTCGTTTCACATACCCACAGACGTGTCTAATATTAAATAATTGGAAAAATTTCTGACATAAACTGTTATATAAATTCATCATTTTGTCTTACGAGCTCATTTTCTAAAAATTCGCCTCTTAAACGTAATATTAATTATTCGTAATATACAAAGATTTAAAGAATATGGTAATACAAGAAGGCATTGTATCGTATCTGAATAAAGAATATTTTAGAGATAAAATATTTTTACATTCTTCGCTACGCATGGGGCTAATAATTACAAAAGCACGAAACGAATAATGTCGTGTACTTCTTATTATAAAAGGACTTATTTACCGTACGATATACCCAATGCAGCTGAATAGGGGATCTGAAAAACGGTAATACTTTAAGACCTTCATATCTTACGTGAAAGATTACCTTTAATACATTGAATTTTATGTTTTACGCGATCCTCGCACGGCTACATATAGATTCGTCGTAGATCTTCGTTTTACAAAAGTAAAATTTAAACTGAATGTTATTTCAACAAATTGTATTTGCATATTATTAAAACTTTCTTTATTTATTACACGTGTTGGTGATTTACCACAATCGAAACTAATTGTATGTGTACGTACATGTACATTCGTTTCGTAATATTTCGTTTGTAGTGAGTTATCAACATATATAATGAAATAGAAAATAATTTAATAACGTGTGAATGTACAATTTCGTGAGGAAACAAGTTTCTATTTTATCTTCCTTGGTACACAAGTGGAATTAAGCCGTTTAAACCAAACGAATAATATCTATCATTTATTTTCATGTATTTTTAATTTAAAAGTCATGTTCAATTAGAAAAATCCTTGTAATCGGTAGAATGAAATAACATATCGAACTAATTGTTTCACCAACAATGAGTAATTACGCCTGTCAATTATCCGTATAAATGGAGTAATTGTAGCACGAGACAATAGTAACAGCATCCGTTTATAGCTCACTTCAATACGATAAATACGATAGCGCTGTAACAATGCCAGATTTATTCTATCAATAACAAAAGAACTCTTGAAAAATTGGAACGTTGAATTTTCTTAAGATAAGACTTATATAAATCAATATTATCCAAGTAGGAATATTCATTAGAGCAACGATCGAAATTGAATCACGTTGCCCAAGGGAACTTTCAACTTGCAAATAATCGGAAAGGAAACTTTTTCATTCTCTCTTTGTGACAAATACGAACTTCGTCCTAGAACTTTGCCCCTTCGTTTTAAAATCGCCTCATATTTCAGTTAATTCCAAAGTTTTTCAATACTACGGAAAATTTTCTAAAACAAGAAATAATATTCTTACCACATAGCTATTCTACGTTAGACCTTCGCTTGTGAGTAAAAAATCTATCAGCGATTGAGTGGAAAAAATACGTAGAAAATGTTAGTTAGTTAATCGTATTATTTAAAATTGTAATTTCTATCGTAACATGAGATATATCGAATCCTTGTTCCAGAAAAAAATAATAATCCCAAAATTTGTAATAAGTTTCTAACGTAAAAGTTATTTGCGAGAGTTATGGAAAAATAACGATAATTTATTAATCTATTTGTAATTGAATTATTTTAAAAATCAGCAACTATCCACATACTTTTAAGCGGTGGTCTGTATCTCGCCAAGGAGAATCTTAGAGAGAGAAGAGAGCTTCTCTTTGGCTCTACAAAAAGGTGCATTAAATAAAAACGCGTCTCTAGTTTCATACGCATAGATTACGTTACGTCGATTATATTGATAAAAGTCTTATGTGACATCTCGTATAACGAAGCAATAATTTAAGCGGAATTGTTTTACCCAAGAAAGCTGCCAACATTGAAATAATTGTACCTTAAATCGAAACCTTCGCTCTGTATCACGTCACAAGTAAAAAGTTTGTCCCAAAGATCTTTTATATCGTTTCAGAGTCACACTATACTTCCATTAGTTCGACGATTCTTTCTAACCAGAAAGAAAATTTTGCGCCTTCCTGGAACGATGTTCTAGATAAGAAGGCAATGCTAACTATTTACGAAGAAAAGAGAACAACCATATCCACTCAAGCAACAACTTGAACGTTGCTAACAAAGTTAGGAGAACTTCCAACTTCCCAAGTTTGATTCTTCGCATTATTTCTTTAACTATAATAGTTTCCCAAATGCTAGACAAATATTAGGTCATCCCGTAAGTTCGTGCCGTTTTTCGAGCGGTTATATATGTTAAAATTGTTTACATACCTTTCGGTTTCATGAAAAAATGTAATCCCCCTCTCGTTGTACAACTTCTTCCCATTTTTCTGGTAGGGCCATTATTCCGTCTCGATAAAAGTTCTCTTGTTTTTCTTTAAAATAATTTTCTAAGCTATTTTTGAGAATGTCAATATTTTCAAATTTTTTACCTACTAAAAAGTGTTGTAATGTTCTGAACAGGTTTGTATTTGCCATCTGCAACTTTGAACGCAATTTTCACTCCTCTGAATTTGAAAGATTGGTAACGAAAAAGAGATATATGTTCTCTACATGATTTTTCATAAAATTCTATTTATTTTCATAAAAATTGACGACCAATCGACGACTCGTTAAATCATTCCATATCCACTCCATATTTCAATTTAACCAATAATTCTTCCCACTAGTTAACACGAAAATTTATAAATATCTAACAACAAATCTTTTAAAAATTAAAAACGTTATTTCTTCCGTATTAATCGAAAGTGTTTTTTTTTTTCTTTTCCGAACCTATCCACGTAATCAAATTTGTCATCTAAAAATACGAAATTCGACCACGTACCAACCCACCAGCTATGATGATTTTCGAGATATCAGTCCAGATGTATCTACTGTATCGACAAATTTCATTGAAAGAATAGCTGATAAAATATTTTTAAGAACTGCCATACACCGAACTTCCATCAAATTATAGATTTAGGATATCTTCTTACTAGGTCATTTCACATTTACTGTGTGTTTTATTTCAAGCAATACATCCGCCAGAGCGAGCGCAGCCAAAAATTGTCCACGTTCACCGCCGAAACAGAGGACGTTTGCCAATTCGCGGAAGAAAAGATGTCATAAATCTCAAAAGTTAAGATAAAAATTTCAATGCCAGGCACGTAGTAACTGCTGCGAACGTATGCGCCCTTGCACGCTTTTGGCCGGTAAATTACTTTTCCGAAGAAGGGAGAAACCATCGGTAGGAAATTTTCCAGATGGCCGAAAGTACTGTAAGTTTATGAACGTTGATCGAACCTGTCTTTATTCGCGGATCCACTCTAAGCTATCGTGGAACATGGACCATGATTCAACCACCGTCGGACAAAAGCGCCTTAACTTCGCCTCCAACTCGAAATGGAATTGCAGCGAATTTAGAAAGCGGCTGTCACTGCCGATTTTACCATTCTGCATGTTCGACCGTTGACCGGAAATAAATCGGGTGGCCCGTGAGCAACGACATTTGCTTCGAAGTTTTTCCATCAACCGGGCGACTTTTTTAGTACGCGTTGCTTTTACCAGTAGTTTTCTCCACGACGATGGCAAGTTGTTGCAGTTTATCGTTCCACTCGTCGCGATAATTAACGAACGAGTTCTCCGAGGAAAGTCGTAAAGCGAAGAAAAGTCCCAAAGCTACAGACTAGAGCTCGACTCGTTGGAACTAGATTTTAGTCAATGTCCGATTAGCTGGACTTTCGCTGCTTGAATTCGCTTGTCCGAACGTGAGCTTCTATTACGCGAACGAAATACTATAATTAGAGAGGACAATTAGCGAGCTTTTATTATATGAACTCGAATTATATACAGCAAACTGGTTGTCTCCCAACGAGTTTAGATAAATGAAGTTCTGTTGTACTATTTTACAAAACTATGAAATATATCTTAGAAGAAACAATTTCCAACGTGGTAAAAAGTGTCTAAATGATACGTACACTCGTATTCATACACACAGATACGAATCGAGCAGCTTTCTGAACAAGTAACTGCCAAATGCATTGTTGTCCATGTTTTCTAATGCTTCTAAATGTCTTCTAATCGAATAATTTTGTCGTTTGGTCGATAAATATCGCTACTTTTTATCGCTGTTGTAGATCAAAGAACCAACACACGTGGTAGAAAATATTCGAAAAACAGAGATTCCACCAGAATGAATTTCAAAAGAATTCAAGTAACAGTGGAATTAAAATTCTACAGTCGTAATTCTACCGTCGCGTCGATTCGCTTTCTGTTTGAGTCTCGCGTTAACAAATTGTCAAGGATTAAAGACAATTCTACGCGATTTGACTGTGGAGGATTCGCGTTAATCGGTCGTACAGTGTGCTTCGCGAACTTCAGTTGTCCAGCAATTTCACCTCGCTAGAAAAACAATAAAGAAAGGAAAGTCTGCGTAAACTTCTACTCTGCTTCACCCTATTTCCGTGTTACGACTTTTCTTATGCCGGTAGAGTTATTTGAACCAGTCCCGGAGGACGCTATTAGAAATTTTCGACACGTAGCACTCCCTCATCAAAAGAACAGAATGGAACGCCTCATAGAACGTTATGAGAACATTCGCAAATAGTCGACACGAAATACGAAGCTCTATGGCAGCCCGAAATGAAATTTATTACCACAATACAGTTGTAACTTGGAAACAAGGTCAGATAACAGAAATGTTTGCACAATAAACATATTCTAAACTTTCTTTTTTATTCGGTTCCGATGCAACCCCATTGTGATTGAGCTCGTATTTCACGATGCATCCTGTGTTATTCGAGTTACATGCGTCCAATAACTCGCATAAGCAAGTTAATATATTTTCTAAAGGTTGACTGGTTCAGCTGTTATTATTAATGAATACTTAAAGGTTTCTTGTTAGGATTTCGTGTAGAATAGATAGATGCTATTTGTACGTAATATTTGTACAATAGTGTTAATACGTAGAATAAATAGATGCTATTTGTTTCGTGGTAGTTCTACGTTTGTTACGTTTATTGCAGAAATAAAGTACGCAGTGAAAGGAAGAGAGAACGTTTGAAACCTCGTTTAGACTTAAACAACGCGTGATATTTGCATTTAATTTGAAACAATTTTTCAACGAAGCTCGTTGGATTACAATTAAGCCACCGTGAAACGATAGAATCAAGCGAAATCGAATCAACTTGCGGATTAAGACGAGAGATTCGAACCGCGAGTTAATACAATTTTTTACAAAATATCGCGTGATGATATATTTTCTAAATTCTTTTCCAAAGCACAAACAAATATCGTTTTACTTGCTTCTATCCGCTTGATTAATTATAAATTAATTATAAATAGGATCGTTCGTAATAGCGATTCTTTCATTTATTTTTAGTTTGTAAGCATTAGTCGCAATTACACAACGCATCTAACGTTATACGCAAGATCGTAAATGAAAGCTTTTCAACGCGATCCAGTTAGTACACTTGTGCTCGGAAGTTCGCAGTTCCAACAGCCGAGTTATGCTGTTCTCGATAGAATTGGAAAATTGATTTTCTAACATCGCGCGGCATTCAGCATCTGCCCAGAATGAGTTAAACTGTTCGACTAATGAATTGACCTTAGTCTATTAAATCTTGGTTCGACGGGACAAACTCGTTATTGCGTCGATTCGAGAGAAGTTAATGTCGGAATCGAAGTTCCGATGGCAAGTACGTATGTTCGAAAGCGTTACGCTTGACTCGTTCCATTGTTCCTTTTATCAGCCGTCGCATCTAGACGTTAACTGGTTTACATCTTAATTTACGTTTACATGCTCTGGTTAAATCCGTGTTTTATCTGGAGATGAAATAAATTAAGTCGACGTGTGGGAAATAACGTGGCCTTGTTGTAAAAAGAATATTAAATTACAAATTAATCATTTCGTTTAAAATATTCCGGATAAATACAAGTTTATCGGATCTTTCAAGTTCAAGGAACGTTGTAAGTTACAAAGAATTGCGTTCTCTATAACCCTGCTGTTGTAGTTGCTTTCGTTCTTGCATTTCAGTTTCGCTTTAATAAAATAAACCGAAGCATAGTAAGATATATACAGCGTAAATTCACATAATAAATTTGACAAGCAATTACATAACAGTATCGATAGTATCCAACAATAATAAACTCGTATTAATGCCACGCATATAGTTACGTACGTATCTTGTACATTTAAGGGTAGCGTGTCATAATTAATATTACGATCGTTTACGTAGTAATATTAATTATTGTACGATAACAATAATTTAGTATTATCGTTTAATTTATGTCGGATTTGAGCCAATAGATATTTTATTAAATTTATTCTTAAATAAAGAATTAACAGGATCAGTTGCACAAACAATTATGTGGTAATATTGGTGGCATCGGTATCTAATCTAACAACGATAGCCTAATATATATACTAATTTCATTAACGTAATTAATAGTAGCTACATTTTGGTATAATTTCGTGTAACTTGTATCGCAATTGAATAAAAACGATATACATATAGCATGTTCTACTCAACCAAAACTTCAAACATCGTTAAAAAAATAAAACAAAGTAGCCACGATTGGAAGGAGGATGGAAAAAATGCAAAAGAAATGCATTTCATCGGATTAAAAAAAAAAAAGTGCCGGTTATTTATAGGAAATCTCGCGTGGAAGGGTCCGGGGTCAATAGTTTAACCTGGAGTCGTCGTTTAAGTGAATTAGAGCTTCGAAGTAAATAACAGAGGTCTATGCGACGTGTAAAGGAAGAGGCGAAGAAAGTTCGCACCGCGGAAAAGATTTCTCGCGAAGTACCGTCCATAGAATAGAATTTCAGCTCGAGCCAGACTCGAGTCGTCAAGTTATTACGAAGTTAAAAATTAAACATCCGTGATCGATGCACTTTGCTTTATAAAATACTATACATCCAAGAGAAAATGATTTTTGCTCTTAGTCGAATCTAACGTGGCTGACAACTTGAGGGACAGATTTAAGAAGACTTTGAAATTTCTAATTGATTCGTTGATGTTCTACGTACACGTTTCAACATGAATGATTGTTTCTAAACGAATCTGGCATTGTCGAAAATTTGTAAAATTTAAAATTGTCTAAGAATTTGTCCAGAATTTGTTAGCTGTGCTATATATTTTAACGTAAAGAATACCTATGTGCACTTATTGGGGACAGGGTTAGAGTTGAAGAGCTTAAAAAGATTGTGTTACCTGGTCAACTTATCCCCTCGGTAATACCATGTGACTTGGAAGTTTGTACGATGTTCGAAGATGTACTCTACTACGCTAATGTTTACGTGTATTCTCTATATTGCTATTACTGTTATTAGTGTTCTTTTTACAGTTTATTATTTCGAAGTTCAAGGTCCACTAAGTTATTTAGTAAATGCGATTTTTATAAATACGACGTGCAAGAAAACATCGTTCGTTGGTGATGCTTCAAGAATACATACGTCTATATCTCCATGTACAGGG